CTGGCAGGCAGGACTGGCGCGGGTGGGTGCGACGGGCAACTTGGTACAGAGTACCCCCTCAGAGGCTCAGACCACATTAATTGACGAAAGTGCTTCTCGAAGCCAAGCTGACAGGCACCTGACTGCTCACTCGGCCGTGTAGTTATTTCATCTGATGATCCAGGGTCACATTAGCAGACTACAGAGTCCAGGCTGCGAAGAAGCAATTTCCCTCCCTTTCTCGCGCCCTTCAGTTGCATTCCCCAGCTTTCGGAGAGCTCTAGGTACAGACTTCAGACCTTCGATCAGCAACTTTGTGCATACCACAGATAGGTCGGCGCTCTCTGTCTTGTCCAACTCCTACGCTCTATGGCTCCCTCGGTACTGGGCTAATTAGTCCGCAAACACATGGCCCCGGCGCCCACGGATTCAGTACTTAATAGGCCAAGGAAGCTGAAGGGCCAAGGAATAGCTCGTCGCGGGACTTACGCCCCGACGTTGAGGCACCAGCAGCTTGCCAGTTCGCATTTGTGCGATCACGCAGAACGAACCGGCTTCACTTTTAAGTCTTCTGCGGTTGCTTTGGTCTATTGCAACCGACGGGGCGTATGTCTAATGGATCGATGAGCGACAACCTCCGCCCTTGACTCGCGTCCCCAATTCTTGGTCTCATTCTTGGGCGGAACTTGGTGTACTGGTCGTATTCTTTCTTCTTCCCATCCCTCACCGGCTACCCGGCCATTGCGCTCAGGCAATGCAGCGGATACCACTGCTGACTGCTCAAGACGACATCGAGGTATCCTGCCGCAGCGCTTGAGATGGCACTATCGATGCCAGCTTTTTGCATCAACTAGAAGAGCAGGCATTTTCGTTCCTACCTTACGTACAGGCGGAGTCAGGATGGACTCGTCTAATTTTTCGACGATTTGAGGGACTGGTCGCAATACTGGGTGTCAATTGCAGCTCGCCAAACTTTCTGTTCGCAACCTCGTCCGTCATCAACCATGGAACATGAAGCCTCATTGGCTCGGGAATCTGCCATTGGATGGATCTTCGTCCCCAGATGGCTTGGGGGCTTGATGACAAAATACTTACGTTGTCGCCCAACTTCTCTTCCACCTAATCAGCTACAAAAACGGTAGGTTGGAGTTCGTACGGGATACCGATATGGGGTGGTCTTGCAAGCCTGGTAAAGCCTGGAAAATCCGTACCTTCCAGACCGCAAACTCTAAAAATGAGTTTCGGAACAGGAGCTAGTTGGGAAGTAGCGTCTTCGATTAAGTGTGGGTGTGTGGGAGTGTCAATGTGATGTGATGAGGTACAGGAAGACTTTGTCATGTGAAGCTGACTCTTTCCATGTTGCGGGGATGGTTTGGCGAGAGGGGAAGGGAAGTGGGAAGATGCAGTGTGATATCAGAAGGACAAATGTGAGTCCTTTTTGAGTTTCCTCTACACCTGCCAATGAGGTTTCTCCAATGGCACTTCGCGTTGGTGAGGTGGTGAAGGCGTCCTGGGATCATCTCTGTAGAGTTGTAGGACTCTCGGGATTTCGCTGTGTGCGTTTGGTGCATGCCAAAGTGGTGAATCGCTAGTTGATGTTCGTATATAGGCCGATCTCGGATCGATGTTTGTAGGATTGGGGAAGTGATGGGGTAAGGTAGGTACTGGACAACGTTGACGCGTCCATGTTGTACTCTGTGGTAGGTTGTAATCTTCCCCCGGGGCCCCGGAGCGGGCGCGCTTAGCGGGCGACTGTACCTTACGCCGGCCGCACGGCGCGCTTTCCATCAGCGAATACTGTGTCCCAGATGTGTTTTTGCTGAAACTGCCGCCAGGCTAGATTTTGACTAGGTTTGACAAGCAGATATCGTTGAGCCGGCTGGTAAAGGGGGAGAAAGGCTTCCTTTCTTGATGGTTTGAATGTGCATTTGAGGCCCTTGGTGTACAAGGGTACTAGTCAAATGATCTGCCGGGCGAAAGTCAATCAGACTATTTTTTTTTTTGCAATGACTTCGAACTGAGTTACATTGTGAGCGGGGTTCGTGTCTTTGAAAAGCGAGCGTTACATCTACTGGTTAGCGATATGGTTCATCGAGACGACGATGGGAGTTTGAGCCTACTGATTTACCACATGGTGTATTTGGTCACTGCCAGGGGTTTGAATGCTTGACTCAACAGAGTTGAGGCTGATTATTGAACCATCGGGGCCACAGCAATCTGATGAGTTGAGTTCGGCTGGAAGAAGACTCACACGTAGGTATGAGCTGAATGTTCATAGCGATAGGGGTCCTCGGTGTTCTCAGAAGGGCAATTGCACACATGCCCATCAGGGAGTGATGGTTTCGTCTCATGCGGTGTTGCAAAGGCTGCTAGTTACCTAGGTTCAAGGGGCTGACCTGGCACGTTAATGATTCTTCCTCATGTTGCAGTTTCGTCTGGGTGTGGTGTGAAGACGTCGCCTGGGATTGGTAGCCGGCAGTGAGAGACTAGGAAGCTCAGGATTTGCGATCTGTTCCGGACTAGCTATGTGAATCCGAGTTTGGCCGAATGGTCTTTTCATAAGGTACGTTGCCCTTCAGGAAATTTTTGAAGAGATACTGTACTTCTCCTTTTCGGTGTCTGCCGACATCGATTAAGAACAGGTTATCGCATAGGAAAATACATGTGTTAATTTCGACTCTCAACTGTGAGAAATGATGGACTCTTACCAAGCACCTTGCAGGAGTTGGGGGCATTACATTGCAGAATTTTGTCAATACCTTCGCTGGTATGGGATCTTCAACATACTTACTCGACTAGATGAGAGTCAGGAACGATGGCGAGCTTTACAATATTTAGTTTAAATTGACAATCTCGCTTCGTACCTGCAAGAAAACAATGCTATTGACGCCACTGGGAATCATGCAAGCCACACCCAAGATCTAAGCAGTCTCTGACAAACAGCATGGCGAGCTATGCGTTTTTGGTAGTTCCAAGACCTCGGTATACTGCCGGACACCTCCAAACATCAGTGACGATTGGCTACCCGTCCAACTCTGAAGGTGATAATTCCAGAAGTGTGCTTCTACTGCAATTGGCTCAATTGTCTTTGATCGCATCAATATAACGCAATGCGGATGGAAACACATGTGATAACCCCGACGTTGTTCATCAAATCGAATGAAGTTCATGGTTCATCCGGCCTTGGCCTCAGTCGTGGAAACACCTCGCAACTTGTGGTAACAACAGATATAGTGGAAGATAGATATAGACAGATAAATAGTCCATACAATTCGGGTCGATGGAGGAAGTTGATGTATTGACAAATCAAAAGAAATCTTGCGTTTGCGCTTGTGGCTCAATGACTTAATGTACCAGCAAACGGGGAAGCTTTCGGTGAACTCTTCCCAAGGTCGTCATGTCATACAATTACATACCTAGTCACACCAAACAGTGCCTACTTGTTAAAACAACTCTCAGCTTTCAGCAGAAGGTGATGAACCCAGATTCTCGTTATCTTTCGACTATTCTAAATCGTATACAATTTCTCAAACTTCATCAAGAGTCCAACGCCTTTTTTTTTGTACTTGCGGCTCTTTCATAAGAGAGTCTTAAATCTAAGTTCTGCATACTTCGTTGCGTTTAAAGAACTTGGAATCAAGGCTCTAACTCCAATTTCCTTTGACACCAATTCACAGCTCGACCTAGCGCTCTATCGTCTGCCTGAAGCAAAGTGCACATATCGAGGCCGTTACCATTACGAGCGATGTGACTTAACCAAACGAGTGTTTGACCATTTCTGTGACGAAGAATTAATGAGGGGCACTGAGGTAAGGTATAAAGAGCATCCGCGTGAAGCTTGATTGCCTGCATTATGACATCTTTGCCCTTGCAAGCAGAGGGAGAGGTGGGATAGGATTTCCCTTCCCGTCGGACTGCCGCGATTCGCCTGGGCCATATGTGAAAAATGCTCCATCTACCTTCCCACTTCGCCTTGTTCTTTATGGTCAAGGTATAGATCTCATATCACCTCATCTCGTTCAACGTATATGTTGCGGAATCGTATCCTGATGATTAGAGATAAAGATAATCAAAGATAGATCAGCATTGAGGTGAACTCCAAGAGAAAAACGCACCCGTATGCTCTATGTGATTTTGCCTGCCTTGTTGATCTCTCACGGATCCTGGAAAGAATATCCAAATAGGACGGTGGTGAACTGAAATAGCGAGGGCTCTCGCCTGTTGTGGTAAAAAAAAAAAAAAAAAAGAAGAAGAGCAGCTTGTAGGCCTAAAATCAACTTTACCTTGCTTACCCCTGTGACATACTAAGAAGATATGGAAAAAAAAAGGACGGCACAGAACTACAATAGCGTGAGCTCTGACCTTTTATGATTAAGCGAAGGCTGCTTCGAAGAACTGTCCCAACTCCCCTTTACTTTTTTAACTTCTCTAGGCAGAACACTGCTGCAAGGCAATATCTTTATGAATTGAATCAAAACAGGACGGTGCAGAAGTGAAAGAGCGAGAGCTCTCGCCTTATGTGGTTAAGAAGACTACTGAATAGACCCGCCCTAACTCCACGTCACCTTGTCTGCCTCTCCATGACACGCTGTACGGAACCACAACCAAGGAAGAGATTAAAATAGGGTTATGCAGAAATCAAACAGCGAGAGCTCTCGCCTTGTATGACCATTAATGCTGAAGCTGGGTAGCACCCGCCTTTTCAGTTTGCTTCTGTCTCGGAGTCTCTCAAAAAACATCGGCGGCGTTTACTCGCTAAACCGGTTTCGGAGCAAACATTGGCCACATTGTGGCGGAGGTCAGTTGCCGCCCCCAACTGTTTCTCCCCCTGTTCCGTTCCGTTTTCTGTGGAATTTCTGGAACCACTCGGACACCAAGCTTAATCAGCTCAGGCAGCCGGAAGCAACGTCGACTCTTCCTACAGCACACGTCAGGTACATTTACATGTACCCCCACATCTCTCTCTCCATCATCATCTCTCATCATCAACACAGACCAGACGCCGCGACAGCTTGTTCAAGATGTCTGGCGAATCTCCCGAGGCCAAGGAGAAGCGCCTCGTGGGGACCGTTCAGATTCGGCTTCTCGAGGCGTCGAACAACGAGGCGAAGCTCACCGAGTTGTTGGGCAAGTACCTGTGCGCGCTGCTACTCAAGGCCAAGAGTGACTATCCTGCAGTTCGCACTGAGGTGAGAATCCACCACAAACTGAATAAAATTCTTTGCGATGCTGACATTTGTTATAGGTGATCACGTTTGCCGGTAAATTGAAAGGCCTGATCATTCACCCAAGGTATGGGTTTCCTCGTTTTCTGCGTCTTCCATGATGTGAGCGTGGGCACTGACAGTGTACATAGCATCATTCTCCCGGTTGAGAAGCTCATCGACCAATACCAAGAGGTCGACTCACCCATTCTTCGCGTCTTAGATATTTCCTTTATCCAGCATAGCATTCTGCGTCTCGAGGATTACGAAAGACGTCATCTATTCCCCAAAGTGGCAAAGGGCATCTCATCACCCAACCATGCCGCCACCCAATCATCCATGTTCAATGTTCTCTTGAAGATCATTCCCGATATCCAGGTACCATCACGCGGCAGCGAAGAAGACGCGGCCTTGAGAGAAGCTAGCGGTCTTTCCAAAGATGTAGACGCCCTTTTCGTCGCAAGATGGCTGGGTAAGGTGTTGCTCCTGAGAATCCCGGGTGGCTCGAACCCAACTCGACAAGATTTTGAGAGGATGAACCCGGCCCTGCTTGCAGCGGACCTGGACTTCCTGAAGCCCGAGCAGCGCGATACTGCAGCTGCATTTCAGAACATGCAGGTCCTCCGGCGCAAGATTGCCCAGCTCTTGGCCAGCGGCGCGTTCAAAGACGAGGAGAGACTTTTGCCCGCGTTGTCTGCAGCAGCGAGCCCCGACTATCAAGTCTCACAGGCCGGAGAAGACATTCTGAAGAGAATCACAATCGACTTCGAGAAGGCTTCAGTTATTGAGGAGTTGTATAATGCACACGCCCGACTTCCCGCGCCCCACAGAATCAAAATTCTCCCTCTGCTTTCGAAATCGAAGCTTGCCACGACAATGCAGGATAACATCATGAACGTCGTTACACTCGACTTTGGTACAGAGACTTCCTCCATTGCGCCAGCTCATTTGCAAGCAGCAAGCGGTCTGGAGCGTACCAGACTCCATAAAGCTCTCTTCTACTTTCTCAACTGGTGCGCCAACATTGGACCTACCCAGGCACCCTTCACCATCGGTACTAAATTGATCGACAAGATGCGGACTTACGTTGAAGATCAGGGCTGGCCTGTTTCCCGCACGCTGACAGCAGACGAAGAGAAGCTTCGATCCATGGCCTACGACCTGCTTGGTGTTCTCGGCGCAGGAAGCGCATCCAGCACACAAGACAAGCTGCATCTCGTCGGTTGGCTCTTTAGATCCATGTCCGAGGACCCTACCGTCGAGGCGGTCTCTGCCATTGAGGGCTCACTTTCGGGACTGACCAGAAGCTTCGATCCCAAGACAGTCAGTGGCGACGGCCGCGGCAGTGGCATGATTAGCCTCATTTCTCTGCTCCTGCACTACATGAATCTCCCCGAGGAGAACCCTGCCGTGCGAAGCGCAAGATTCTCGGCCGTCAAGTGGGCGAACCAGACCATTGCGTCCTGGGATGTGCGAGGCAGATGGATCGATATCCTAGCCATTGCCGGCCGCAAGTCGGAGCGCACAGAAGTCGTCGAGGAAGGCAGAAAGGGCTTGGATCCCTGGACGTATAGAGACGCCGAGGCGCACAAGATGCCGGATTGGATTCAACTCATGACGTACTTCTTCTGCGACAAGATTTCTGACGAGATCTCAAGTGACGAGTGGAGCAGCTCAGCGCCTCCCAAGCTTGACTTTGATGATGACCGGACGATGCAGAATTTCCAAGGCGAAAAGATGATGGCTTACTCTGTTGCCGTCGAGTACGTCAAGAGGGCTCTGTTTGTCGCTGCGCTTCCGGACTTTCCTCTGGTTCCTGATTGGAGCTCCCAGCTCGATACTCTTGTTCGGAACGATGTCAAGACCAGGGAAACCATCGGAGCCTACTTCCGTTCGGTTGAGCCGGAGTACATTGGTCTCCTCATCAAGATCTGCTTCGACGGTGTTCGTTACCTGAAAAACCTGGACGGAACCGATCGCGTCGTTGAGAGCTGCCTAAAGTCCATGGTCGATGTCGCATCACTCGCCCCCGCTGGCACTATCAACTACATCGCCCCCTCGGCATGGGTTCTGCAGAAATGCATCGCATCTAACAACCGACACACCCGTGCTGCCGCCGCGCAAGCCGTCGGAATTCTCCTTCCTCATCCCCTTAATAAGGCGGATCTGGCGATTCCCGAGGCGGTTCCCCACCAGACAAGGAACGAGAACATTCAGAAGTTCCTGAGAGATCTCAAGGTCATGATTTGGGGATGGGAAAAGCATGTTGGAGCGGTCGCCAATGGCGTCGAAGGAGCTCTGCAGGCATTCGGCCACATCTTTTCGAGAGCAGTGTACTACGGTCTTCCTATCCCGATCGACGTTCACCTTCCGGCAAAGATGCTCATGGACAAATCGCGCCATGGTCCGACGTTGGAGAATGCTATCCTCGAATGCTACGGCGAGCTTTGGACCGCGGGACTTTCACAGTACATTCCGGACAACGTTAATAACCTTACAGCGGATTATGTGATCGAGAGACTCACGGAGAATGCGAATGCAGGAAGCGACAAGTCCATCTTTGCTCTCGGCCGCCTTGCTTTGGCGTTCAACGAGCCGAATGAAGAGGCCACTCCTGAGGACGGCCTGTTGTACCCATCTAGCAAGACGTCAGGCATCGACAGTGTTCTAAAGAGCCTTTTCGGACTTCACTCAAGAAAGGAGACTGAAATCCAGTTCACCGTTGGCGAGGCCATCACTGCCGCTATTGCCTGCTGGGACTCTGACTTTGTCAAGCTTTCCATGAATGTCGACTGCACCGACGGTCCCTGGAGAAAGGGCAAGCGCAGCCAGAGAATCACCGCTGTGCTCGACAAGCTATTCCGCGACTGCAAGACGACCAAGCCCAGCTTGCTCAAGGCCTCTGGCATCTGGCTCTTCTGCGTCGTTCAGTATTGCGGACATCTCGACGAGGTCCAGTCCCGTCTGCGAGAGGCTCAGGCCGCATTCATGAGGTTGCTCAGTGCGCGGGACGAGTTGGTGCAGGAGACGGCCTCTCGTGGTCTATCCCTGGTGTATGAGAAGGGCGACGAAGGATTGAAGCAGGATCTTGTCAAGGACTTGGTCTCGGCCTTTACTGGGAACACCACGCAGATCAAGGTCGAGGACGAGACGGAATTGTTCGAACCCGGCGCTTTGCCTACGGGCGAGGGCAAGTCGGTGACATCGTACAAGGATATTGTCAGTCTGGCGAACGAAGTCGGAGACCAGAGTCTCGTCTACAAGTTCATGTCGCTCGCGACGAACGCCGCGACTTGGTCGACGCGATCAGCCTTTGGTCGCTTCGGTCTCAGCAACATCCTCTCAGAGTCGGAGGTCGATCCGAAGCTTTACCCTAAGCTGTTCCGGTACCGCTTCGACCCAAACTCCAACGTTCAGCGATCCATGGATGACATCTGGAAGGCCTTGGTCAAGAACCCGAACGAAACGATTGGCGAGCACTTTGACGCTATCATGCAGGATCTCTTGAAGAACGTCCTCGGCAAGGAGTGGCGCGTTCGACAGGCCAGCTGTGGTGCCATCTCCGACCTGATTTCTGGACAGCCCTTCCACAAGTATGAGAAGTACTATGCCGAGATCTGGACCGCGGCACTGAAGGTGCTTGACGATGTCAAGGGATCCGTCAGAGAATCTGCGCTTAAGCTGTGCATGGGTCTGACCAACACTATTGTCCGTCAACTCGAAGAGGGTGGGTCCTCGTCGTCAGCGCAGGCTATGCTGAAGCAAGCTCTTCGTTTCCTCCTCTCGCCCAGCGGTCTCGAGAGCGGTGTCGATGAAGTCAAGATGTTCTCGCTGAAGACGATTATCGACATCACCAAGAAGGGTGGCCCTAATCTGAAGCCCTTCATTGTCGACTTCATCCCTCCGCTCCTGGGTCTTCATAGCACAATCGAGCCAGAGCAGATCAACTACGCTTACCAGAAGGTCAGCGAGGACTCCCGTGACCAGCTTGATAAGCTCAGAGCTAGATGGGTTAACCAATCGCCAATCTCGGAAGCCATCGACAACTGCCTCCGGCAGCTAGACGCCGACGGGATGAAGCAGCTTGCGCCGAAGCTCGAGGAGATCATCAAGACCGCCATTGGCATGCCGACCAAGATTGCGTGTGCTAGACTGATTGGCGATCTTGTCATGCGCCACGCCGTAGACTTCAAGCCGGTATCACCAAAGTTCATGCAGATTATGGAGAAGCAAGCACTCGACCGCAACGACGAAGTCAGCAAGGGCTACGCCAGAGCCGCGGGATACCTGATGCGCATCGTCCCCGACGCATCCAAGGAGCGGCTCGTCGATAAGTTTACTGAATTCTACTTTGCTAGCGAAGACGAAGCCCGCCGCGCCAAGGTATCTGATGTTGTTCTCGGCGTCTCCAAGCTTGCCCCCGACCACTTCAACGCTCTGGCGGCCAAGTTCATCCCATTCACCTACATGGGTATGCATGACACCGACGAGTATACCCGAAAGTGCTTCGACGAAGTCTGGAACCAGCACGGCGGCAGCTCCCGCACCGTCGCGCGCTACGTTCCCGAGATTGTAGGCTTCATCAAGCGGGGCCTCGAGGCGCCGCGGTGGAACCTCCAGCATACCGCAGCCTTCAGCATTGCGAGCATGATCAAGGCCGTCGTCGCCTCCAGCGATGCTACGGGCGGACAAATGTCCGAGGCCAACCTGAAGCTCATCTGGCCCGTTCTCGATAAAGCGCTCGCCCTCAAGACATTCCCTGGAAAGGAGAAGGTTCTCGAGTCCTTCCCTCAATTTGTCGGCAAGGGCAAGGCTCTCTGGCAGAATGACTCAGCCGTCGCCGCACAGCAGCAGAAGATTGCGATTCGCGAGGCTAAGAGAAACAATGAGGACTACCGCCCGCACGCCTTCAAGGCTCTCTGGCAATTTGCAGAGCAGCGCGACGATCTGGACCTTCTAGAAACCATCTCCACTATTGTGGGCGGACCTCTGGATGACTTCATCGACGAGGACCGGATGGACGTCGACAGCTCCGGCGACGCGACGCGCAAGGCGGCCGTCAACGGCATCGAGACTGTCGCGCGCGGCTACAATCGCAAGCAGGTCAAGGAGAACCCCAGCGCCGTGCTCAAGAAGATCTTTGAACTTCTCAAGACGTATCTTGACAACGCCAAGTTCGAGGGCATCAAACGAGAGGTGTGGTACGAGTCTGTCAAGGACCTGATGGAAGCTGCGCCCGCCCCCGGCACCCCTGCCGGCAACGAGAAGGAGGTCGCTCTGGCCTACCTCCGCAGCCTGGATCCCGAGTCCGTTGACAACGGCACCGAGGCCCAGCGTACGATGCGGGTCCTCGCCATTGGCGGGGTATTCAAGGCCATCCAGCGCGGGGTGTTTGGGGAGGGAGCGGCGGCGGCGGAAGAAAGGAAGGGCTTTGTGGAGATGGTGAAGAAGGCATTGGGGGTTGAGAGGTCCCTTGAGGTGCAGAAACACCTCAAGGAGATCCTCGCGGAGCTGGAGAAGTAGGAGGGAGAGGAGAAGATCCTTCCCCCTACTTCTCCAGGGGAGAGGGATGTTTTTGGCCGCCCGGCGGCAGGATATGGCTCGCGGGGTGTTGATACCCCTAAACTAGAATTTGCACTTTACTTGAATGACTGTCTCAATGGCCCAATTCCCTTCTCCTGTGCTTATGTCGTGAGGAGGATTCACTGCTGAACATACGAGAGACGCCGGAAGAGGTTGAGACTTGAAGAGAGGCTCTACTTTGCGTACGTGCGATACTTGTGACTCTGTGAATATCTGCGATGGATGCTGAGAAGGGAGTTCCTCAGAGTACGCCAGAAGATGTAGTCGAAGCTCACTTTACTGCCTTGCACAAGCGTGCCCTTCTAGTCAGATTTCGTGAGCACGCATCGTCATGGATGCTTGAACTTATTTCGGATGCCACATGAGTTTCAGGGCGTTTTCCAAAAGCGAATGTTACATGACAGCTTACAAAGCGGTTGATCGACCATGTTGACCAAGTCTCAAGGCTTGGCTACCAACTTGCCCGAAGGGGGAATTGAGAACAGGGCAAAATTACGGTTACTTAGATGGCAGCAGTGGAAGCAAAAGCTACATGTTCATCTCTGAATGTTTGAAAGAATGGCAGGCCAAGACAATGTCTATCTAGCCTGTGCCTTTAGTCGATGCAAGAAAGAAGCAGGTTGCAATGCTCTGCCTGGGATGCTCTTGGAGACGGATAGCTTCATGTGTGGCTGATGACATGCCACAAGGTCAGCCACATGAGAATGAGCACCTTGGTGGCCGTGGCGCAGTGGATTACCTCATCGCATCAACATTCTGCCATTTCTCCGAGACAGCCCAGAGCAGGAAGGATGGCTCCGAGGCTCGACCGGCGGTTGCGTCACAGAGTTGGACGCCTTGAGGGTGGCACTGGCCCGATAGCAGCACCTGCCCTGCGCTTTCACCCGTGCCTGCACTCAATACTGTGCCTTAACACGCGCCGGGACAAGCCCGCAACACCATCCCGTCCTCAGATCAGTGGCGGCGCAAACCAACCAAACCAGCCTTGCCTTTTCCCCCAACAAGAAGCTGAACCTGAAGCTATCGACTTTCTTTCAATTTACCTGTTTGGAAACCGCTTTGGACTTCTTCACTCGACGGCGCCGGACAATTTGGACCCGAAGACCAACGCGCCCGACGGTAACCTGCAGCTACCCCTCCGCCCCGTGCCAGACTCCAGCACCTTCGGTTCAAGGTGGGGCAGAGGTGCCATCCGTCTCCCACCTTCAGCGACCCTTCTGCATTCACTCTTCTGACCGCCACCAGAAAAAAGAGATATCTTTTTTGACTGATCACTGCCCGGTACCAACAGCTGGAGGAAATATCACGAAGCTACTCAAAAAAACAAATCTCTTCAGCGACCTTTACACCGCCAAGCGCAGACCTTCGCCATGGACGAGGATATCTCCAACTTCGTCGCCATCACGGCAGCCAGCCCGGAGGCCGCTCGCGGCTTCCTGGAGATGACCAACAACAATCTCGAACAGGCCATTCAGCTCTTCTTCGAGAACCCCGACATTCAGAGCAGTTTCAACCAGCCACCCGCCACCTCCTCGACAGCGCCCCCAGTGCCCTCGAGCACCCGACCGAATGTGGGACGGCAGGACGAGCGCGGGGTCATTCACATAGATAGTGATGACGATGGCGATACTGCCATGACAGTGGACGATATGGACGATAACTTTGGACACGACGACTCCGAGATTGCAGCAAACGAACAGGTGGCGGCCATTGCCCGAAGTGCCCAAGAGGAAGAGGATGCTGCCATGGCCAAGAGATTACAAGAGGAACTTTACGGTGGTGGTCCTGGAGGCGGCGGCGGTGGCGCTGGAACCGGCGGTGGTCAGGATGATGTCAGATCACCCATCGCCAGAACCACCGAGACGCTCGTTGGAGGCTATGATGGTGATGATGGTATGGACATGGACACTATCATCCGGGCACAAATGAGACAGAGAGAAGCCGCCAGAGCAGCTCGAGGTATGTATTGGGTTATGTTTGCTCCCCTGGGCTTGCCATGCTAATTTCCTGGACATCAGCTGGTGGTGGAAACCCCTTTGCTCATAACCTGTCCATTTGGGACGATGACAGCCCAGCTGCGACCCAGCCCGCCCAACCTGCTTCAACGGAAGGCGGCACACGAGCCCAGAGACTGGCAGAGCTGTTCCGGCCGCCCTACGACATCATGTCCCGACTTGAGTGGGATGAGGCAAGGCAGGAGGGCAAGGACGAGAAGAAGTGGATCCTGGTTAACCTCCAGGATATGAGCGACTTCAACTGCCAAGCCTTGAATCGGGATATCTGGAAAGATGCGGCTATTCGGAGATTGTTGGATGATGCCTTCATTTTCCTACAGTACGACAAGGATGCTATGGCGGCACAACAGTACATCAACTTTTATTTCCACGGCACCGGCCACGAGAATCCAGACAATTACCCGCATGTCGCCATTATCGACCCGAGAACGGGAGAGCAGGTCAAGGTCTGGAGTGGAAGGCCGTTCCCTAGCGCTTCCGACTTCCATGCGCAGCTGGCCGAATTCCTGGACCGCTATAGCTTGGCGGCCAACAGCAAGAACCCCGTAGTGGACCAAGCAGCGCCCCGCCCCAAGACCGTCGATGTCGACCGAATGACGGAGGATGAGATGCTGGAGATGGCATTGCAAAACAGTCTTGCTGCGTCCAACGGTGGTGGTGGTAGCAGCAGCTCCAAGCCCAAGACGAGCGTATTCGATCCCGATGCGCTCACCAAGTCAGACTCGTCTAGCGGCCAAGGCAAGGGTGTTTCTCCAGTTGAGGAGGCAGCAGGCGGCATTACCCCCCCTGCTGAGCCGGCAGCAGCGCAAAGCGCCTGGGCCAGGATCGCGAACGACAAGCCGCACACGGAGCCAGAGAACAAACCAGCAACGACGACACGCATACAATTCCGACACCCCACTGGACGTGTCATCCGTCGGTTCAACCTGGAGGATCCGGTCAGACGCATCTACGAGTGGCTCAAGGCCGAACCACTCGAGGGCAAGGAAGGGATTGAGGTTGAGCTGAAGCGTATGCCGCAGGGCCAGGACTTGAGTGACGGGTTGGACACGACCATCATGGAGGCTGGTCTCAAGAACGGTACCGTTATGATTGAGTTTATTGAGGACTAGAGCTGGCGTTGGTTCCACTCAGCGACTGATGATTCGAGGTTGAAACATCGGTTAAGGGCAAGGTGCATTTATTCAGCAGGGCCAGGGCCAGGGCATGGCCGATAGAATCGGAACTGGACAGGCGGAAGGAAGCCTTCTTTCAACATTGTTCGTTTGGGCTCTTCTCATACATACCACAATATCCGGCGAGGGCAGGCAGGCATGGAAGGATGCAGTTTATCGAGGACAACGGGTAGCCAGACAGAGTCTAATAGCGGGCCAGAAGATTCGGACGGCCAACCCACGTAGGTAGACGCTTGTTAACACAGAGACGGCATCAATAGACAAGGGATTCAAAGTAACACTCGTCGTGTTGTGTTATGGATGTTCCGAATGAACGTTGTCACTGGACGCCCGTGCCTCCATGTGGTGAGTCCTGGGTTTTCGGTTCTACTTGATATGGTATCGACTATCAACGTCCAACGATCCAATGCCAATCATCTTCAGCCTCTGCTGTAGTGGTGGTAGGAGTGGAAAGAAACCCACACTCAGGGCTGAAGGGAATCGACGGCAACTCGTTTGCACAGATGCTTTCCTGGCCAAGGTACCAGAACGGCAAGGTCAACCAAAAGAAGAATCCAAAGGAACAAAGGTGGCTCCAAGTCTAAAGGCAGATGTCTTGGGCTGAGAGATGTGGGTGTTTCACTAGGCTAGAGCATGAACTATCTTTGGGAAGTGTGCTTGGCTCACCTGGGCATCGGTGGTGGCGCCGGTTGGAGGGGAACCAATCAGAGGGCTACGGCGGACGGGTTCCTGGACGGGACGTGTCACTGCATGCGAGATGAGTGGAGGGGTGATTGGATGTGGTGGGTTGCTCTCCGTCTGTTAGTTATAGTGCTAGTACCAATATTGATTGTGGTGTTTGTTGGTGATACTGGAATGGTGAAATGAGAGGTGAGAGGTGGATATCTGGTTGGCACCGTTTGGGGCGATTCTGTGAGGTGCACTGCCATTTGATAAGCAGGACGTGATCTGTGCACGCTCGCTTAGGTTGGCGATAATGCATTGCGCAGGACGGAGTACTTGATTCCATTGTTTTGACTGCTAGAGGTCGCTGACGTTTTTACTGGACAGGGCCACCCCGAGGGCCAGACGGATAGCAGGGGGATATTTGAGGTGGGATGAGGGGAACCTTGGAACCTGTGCCTGGCGACTCCAAATTGACATCAACAGTGGTGGTTGCTGGTGAACCGACCCCTCGGTTACCATTTCAGATCATGGCATAAACAACGGGCGGTGCGAGGCCCAATAGACATCTTTCTGCTTCTGTTTCTACTACACAGTACATCAACCATTCCAACCTGCCTTACGCATACTCGGGTTCTTTGCGCTGGAACGTCGCATTTCCGTTTATATGTATTTGGGGAGTCGATCTTACCAAATCAGTCAGGTCTAAGATATCCCAACCTTGGGTACCGTGGAGTCCAAGCCCCAAACTAGCACCTACACCAAGACAACATTGAAGAAAGCGACGACGACGCAAAAGACAGCCACGCCGGCGCCGTCTTCTTTGTGGCCTTTCAACCGTCCAGAATCTGTCTACTTGAGCTCGGTCTGGCTTGGTACCGTCGCTTTTTACCCCACACTCTGCCTCGTGTGCCCAAACATCAGATTCCCGTCCGTCGTTTCTTTGGGACCACGACGCTTTCTTTTTTGCGCGGCTCTTAGGTTCCTTGCCATACTTTGAGATTGCCCGTCTCTATTCGTACTCTGTAGGTAGGTCTGTTGGATTCCCCCTGCTGCTTATTGTGCCTATGGACTTTCATCCACGTAGTCCTATCGTGGCACTGACGTCTTCCCTTCCCTCTCCCTTTGCTTTGGCTCTGCCAATCCACCGACTTACGAGGGACGCGAACTACAGCGGCCCGCTACAGTGTCTCACCACCACCTCTGGAACCTTTTTTTTTTCTCATCCTCACCTACCTACCTAATTGTTTTCCCCCTCCCCTTGTTTACCTCGTCATTCTGTCTCTGCACCTTGAAGAAAAGGAGAGACGAGACATTAGACACGCGACAACAGCCCACGTACGATTGACGCCGCCTCCTTGGGAACTAATCACCGTTAGGCTCCGGCCGACTTTGTCTCTAGCACCTTTTTTTGCTAACCGCTCGCCTTGAACCAGATCGCTTTCTTTCTCTCCTTAGTTTGGGCCTTCAAAACCAGCCTTCTCGGGGGGCCACCTGTGACCACCTAGCCCGGCTTCAATCGCTTCTACCTCAGCTCGACGACAAGCCGTATCCTTCGTCCCCCACCGCCTCTATCCCTCTCCAAGCCGCTCGCCCTCAACTCCAGGATCCCCTCATCAACCACCTGCCCGCTGCTTGCTGCCCGCTGCCCGAGCACGAAGGCAAAAAAAAGAGACTTTCCAGCCTGAGAAGTCAATTTCCCGCCAACGGAACATTTATCTGCCTGACGACAGCAGGCACCCGATTAGAGACGAACCACCGCCGCGCCGACGCCGAACTACCGCCAATCCCACTACGCTGACGACCTTTCGGGCCCCTCGCAACCCCGCGATCCTCTCCTTTGCGACGGACGACAGTCCTCGACGGGACAGCCTCCTGTTGTTGCGCGGCGTCAATTGAACGACTAATCCTCTCTGCCGGGATACACACCCCACCTCCTTCGCAGCGCTAGACCGCAACCATGGGCGATCGCGATAGGGATATCGAGGAGGGCAACGAGGCGCTTGATCCCGAGCTGCTCTACACCAAGGAGTACTGCATTGGTACGCGCGCCGCTTCCGTGCTCGAGGCGGCATGTTGCTAATATGCTCGATTTTACTAGGCGGAGGAAGCTTTGGCAAGGTCTACAAGGGGTAAGTGCTGCCCAGTCCAGTCCCCCTCTCCTCTTCAGCGAGAAGCACCAGAGAACTAACCGCAACTTGTGCAGAGTCGACAAGCGTACCGGTCACGCCGTGGCCATCAAGATCATTGATATCGAGAGCGCCGAGGACGAGGTCGAAGACATTATCCAAGAAATCGCCATCCTGTCCGAACTGCAGTCTCCCTACGTTACGAAATACTATGGCTCGTATGCCAAGGGGGCGGAGCTATGGATTGTCATGGAGTTTTGCTCGGGTGGCAGCTGTGCAGACCTCATGAAGCCAGGTCTGATTGGCGAAGACTACATTGCAATCGTTATTCGCGAGCTCCTACTTGGTCTCGATTACTTGCACACGGATAAGAAGCTGCACCGTGATGTCAAAGGTTGGTTGGGCACTTTGCGATGCGCTCCTTTTGCTGCTCTGGTCTGGAGCTAACACACGTATCCAGCTGCCAATGTGCTACTCAGCTCCAACGGGCAGGTCAAGCTTGCGGATTTTGGTGTCTCGGGACAGCTCTCGGCTACCATGACGAAAAAGAACACCTTTGTCGGCACACCCTTCTGGATGGCCCCCGAGGTTATCAAGCAGTCAGGCTACGATCACAAAGCTGATGTCTGGTCGCTTGGTATCACGGCGCTGGAGCTTGCCAACGGCGAGCCACCATATGCTGACATCCACCCCATGAAGGTGTTATTTTTGATCCCCAAGAACCCTCCACCGCGGCTGGAAGGAAACTTTACAAAAGCCTTCAAAGATTTCATCGAGGTGTGTTTGCAGAGGGATCCCAAGGACCGACCTACGGCCAAGGACCTGCTCAAGCATCCCTTTATACGCCGCGCGAAGAAGACGAGCTACCTGACCGAGCTCATCGAGCGCCACAGCCGGTGGGCCGCGACGCACAAGGGCGACGATGATGATAGTGACCAGGGGGGTGAAGAATACTACGAGCGCCGACAGGTCGACGAAGACATGTGGGATTTCGGCACAGTGAGGCTTGTGGGAGATCGTGGCGGTGTGGTTCCTCGTCCTGGACTTGGTGCACTGGATGAGTCTGCCACCAACGCCAGAGCTGCGAGACCTACGGAAAGTATTGATGATTATGGGGAGCGTTCGAGAGACAGCAGTCCGACCAAGATTCGCGACTTTGGCCGCGACCTCGCCATCGCTTCTGATACCCTCAAGGCGGCCAGTGCCAACACGGGGACCTCTCGACAAGCATCGCCACAACGGAAGCCTGTGCCGTCAGTCGCGCCCCAATCGCCTGCCAAGGTGCCTCTTCCAATGTCGCCAGAGAAGTTGCAAAGAGGAGGAGGGGGCCCAGAGACACCACGACCCATCTCTCGATTGATTCCACCTGCCGTCCCGGTCAGTCAATCTCCGGACTACGACCGAGAATTGCAGGTCCAGTTGCAGAAGGACATGGGCTTGATGAGTCTAGGCCCTGTGATTCAGCCCGCCGACTTGCAGCACGTTGACGATGCTACACCCCCGCGACCCCCTCTCCATGGACCTCGGCCGAATAACAAATTTGCGCCGATTACTCTTCCAGAAATCCCCCCGTACCGCGGCAGCCCGCAGGCGCAACAAACGCCGGTTAGGATACCGAGCCAATCTCCGAACGGGCAATATCGTCAGCCGTCTGGCCAGGCGGCGCCGCCTCCACCACCAAAGGCATACGCGCTGCCGTCGAAGACGCAGACGCCTACCCCTGAACCCGCGGCACCTTCCTCCTTTCCCCCGCCAGCGCCGTCTAATCCCAACGGGGAGCTAGACGCCTTGAACGATGTCATTTTCCCTGCACTCGAGGAGGCGCTAAAGAGGAGACAAATCAGGCTGCAACAGGCATTCCGACCTCAACAGGGTTCGTCTAGCCTCGTGGCCATGAACCAGGTGACTCCGAAGCAGCAACGAGCGGAAGCGGCTCACGAGAAGCTGCGGAAGCTCGTATATAAGCTCGCTCATGTGTGCAAAGAGATTGACCATTATGACAAGGCGGAGCCCGTGGGTATGGGTAGGGACGTTGGCACCTTCCTGGAGGGGCTGTTGGAGGAAATTCTCGTCAGGGTTGAACCCCTCGACGAGGAGGATGTTGCGGCGTGAACCGTCTGATGGTCCAGGCGGCTGTGTGTGAGGCGGAACGACGGACAGGGGGGATGCTTGGTGGGGCATCTGACGAGCACATGCTTAGATGCTCGCGAGTCGTCGCCGGCTGACCGGTGAGGTGGGATGGAAGATGGGAACAAGCTGACTCGTTGACGACACGACAATAGACGGGGTTCTGGAGGATACCTACCGCCCCAATGCGAAAACGAAGAGACTTATTACATATGATGCAAAGGGCCAAAGGGAGGAAAATCGGGGTCGACGGAATGCTGGAAACGACAAAGATGACAAAACGACGGACATGACATGATGGACAGGACATACACAAACACAAACATATACACATACTTGGCCCGTTCCCCTCTCGTCTTTTGACTCGGAACTGGGAAGGAAACAACGGGCGGCGAGTCTGGGGTTTGAGGAATAGAGTGAGGGGCTGGGGAGGGGAAGGGGAATGGTTCTATCACAAGACGCCTTTTTCTTTTCTACGTACGATGGACCTCATGTATTATACCCAGCATTTACCAAGAATAGAGTGCGTGCTCTTTCTCTGAGACCCTCGAGCCACCACCCCCGGAGAAACCGATGCAAGGCTGGAGAGGGAGGCTTCGATGCACTAAGCTGTATGGGGAGGTGAGAGGAATGGCACTTTGGGTGGTTACTGATCACAAAACCTCGAGTCGAGGGGGATTCTTCTTGTTTCTGCCCAGTGGCAGTGGCAGTTCCCGTGTCTTGCCAGGTATGTCAGGTATGGGTCTATCCGTTTGGGAATCCTTGGATGTTGCCGAGAGTCAATACTTTACTGTAAGCGAGCGAACCTTGGACTTTGCCGCTGCAGAGACAAGGCAAGGCCTATGGAGAAAGTCTCGCTTTTTCTTGGGGCCTGTCCTGGTCTCATGAACTTCCTGAAGAGCAATCGCTTAGGGGATGGTGAGGGCTGAGGGGGAGGGGAAAGGGTAGATCGGTGTGGTGGATTCGAACATGGAGTTATATGGTATACGGATGCCAAGGCGCCGTGTGTGTGCGGGTGGTGTATACCTCGACTCTATCTACGACGGACCCATGTCCGGCGCGGCTGAAGAGGATGGAGGGGCTTGGAGAAGCGTACGGGGGCCCGAAGGAAGGGTATGTACTTGTAGGAATCGATCGAATGGGGATAAAAAAGTGCGGGAGAGGGGAACGAGGAATATGAGTCTTTTGAGGTTTCCGATGGCGGGATTTTGGCGTGTGATGTTTGACGTTGTCTGTGTGTCTTGTAATGGCCCGTGGAATCCTTGCTGAAGGGATGATTTCGACCAAGGCAGCACGAAGTTCACAACAGGCTCCATCAAAGGTATGATCTTTGCTGTACTCTGTGCGGGATGGATATCCGTAGCGTATGAATAAGCTGGCAAGAAAGCCAGGTTCGTTCGGCCAGGTTCGGCCGGCCTTGTGTTGGTAACTTTGGGACTCTTGGGTTCTGGGAGAGAAGGTCGCAGCGGCAGAGAACCTGAAACCAGACGCGCGCGTGGGGCGGATGCTGCGGTGCTGGGCAGACGGGAAACCCTGCGGCGAGTCATGGACCCTGAAAAGGATGCCACAATTACAAAAAGGGCATATGTGCAAGAGGGAGAGGGAGAGGGAGAGGGAAGGGAAAAGCTGCTAAAGGCCTGAGGGTACGGCATTGACGATGGCTGGCCTTGCTGGGCAGAAACTAGGCCATGGATCTGGGTGTAAGTTCCCACAGACAGCGCTACGGCGTTACCCGTTGCTGACACCATGATCCCTACACCCTTTTCCCTTTTCTTTCAAGTCTGACTGGCCTGTTCCCAAGATGTACGGACAGACACAGGCAAACCATGTCCTTCTGAGTCCTTCTTCAGGCCAAGGCTGGGGGGCCTCTCCTTCTTGGGACGAGTCAATCGAGTCAATCGTCTGCCCTCCACCCCAGTCTTTCCCTCAAAGTTGGGACGCTGGGCGCTGCAGGACGAGCAACACACACGGCTTGGCCCTGGGAGGATGGGACCCACCATCTTTTGTATGTGTTCTGTATGGTCTTGTTTGGGTGCGGCTGCGGCTGCGGCTGGGCTGGCTTGCCTACCCATTACATAGTTTCTGCAAGAGTTGTAAGTGACATGGTAGCATGACCCCCCCGGGTCGGCGTGCTGCCGGCGAGATGTTCGTGGAGAACGGGACCTTTCCTTCCCCCTACTTCCCTCCTCCTGGGCAGCTTTTCTTCACGAGACCGATCCAAGAGGCGAACTCTGGATATGGGGCAGATGTGGTGGAGAGAGAGGAAGCACGGATCCAAACTGCCGTGGAGGAAGTTTGGGATATGTGACTTCTCTTAAGGCCTGGCTGCGCCGCCCTTCTCTCGTTCGTTTGGGAGGAAGGTTTTCGGACTTTCTTTGCAACTTCTTCTCGCTCCTTTTTGTTTGCTTCCTGCTTTTCTCCTCCCTCTTTTGAAGATGAGAACGTGTTGATTACGTTTTCTCTCCCTCTCCCTATCTTCGAAACTTGAGCAGAAAGAAACCTCACTCCCTTCCACTCATTTTCAGTTCATTTGCTTCTACTACTACGCCTTTTCGTGAAGGTAATCTTAATCCTACGGGGGAGGATCGAAGAGCCTTCTACTTGTCTTTGCCCTGTCTCTGCTACCGACTGCCCTGGTCCGTCTGGTCTTTTGTCTTCTCAAAGTCGGTTCCTGTTTCGAAATCCCTTGGAAGAGAAAGAGCGAAGGTTGTCGCCTTACCTCAAACACGTTGGCACACCACCACCCATAGCCCAGCTATTCCCTGGCAGAGCGTCTTATTACTCTTCCTCTCACACATCGCCCATCCCTCCCCTCTTCTACACATACCACCACCTCCATCTCATAATCACTCCCTCTACCTATTCTCCTCGCCGTCGGGCTTTCTCTTCCCTTTCCGACCTCCTTTCCCGAACAAACATACCAGCCTTTTGGGGGCCGGAGCCTCAGACTCGTCGTTCCTTTCGTCATCAAGCATCCCCGCCTTGTACGATCGACACATTGCGGCTCTTTTCAACGACTGTTTACGACTGTTTCGCAACAATAGAGGCTGGTTCTCTCGACTACACATCATCTTGTCACCGGAACGACCTCCGTCCGCCATTCGTATAAACTGGGTCAAGCGTGTTTAGGAGGAAGCGGAATTACCTGGCCCAATCAGCTCTACCAGCCTCCTTCAAACGGGGCTTGAGACTTTCTATACAACAGCAACCATGAAGACGACGACAACAAAGGCGGTGCTGCTCACGCTGCTCGGCAGCAGCGGCTTCGTAGCAGGTGTGCGAGCCGCGGCGAACCTGTGCTTCTTCCCCGGCGGCGTGCAGAGTCTGGACGTCCCGTGCGATCCCAAGGCTGAAGTGAGCATGTGCTGCGGAAGCGTGAACGCGTGTCTGAGCAACGGGTTGTGCAAGCTTGAGGATACGTCGAATAACACGGGTATCGCGTACGCGAGAGGGACGTGTTCGGATCCGACGTGGCAGAGTCCAATTTGTCCGCAGCATTGCGTGTTGAGTAAGTCTTCTACGAATCCTTTCCGAGGCCACAGGGGAACAGTTGGTCATGGGAGAACCATGGACCGAGACTGGCGAATCTGAGATGGAGGGGTGTTTTGATTGAGGAAGGAACAGGAGTACTAACATGAAGACAACAGACCCCGACACAAGAAAGAACAACACGGCATACGACTTCAGATTCAACGGTGTCCAGGTATGGCAATGTGATAGCCAAGGCTTCGGCGTACCGGGCAAATTCTGCTGCGAATCCGCCGCCGAGAAGACGAGATGCTGCTCCACGCCGCCCGCCATCTTCGGGCCCCTCATCGCCGCGACACCCGGCAACGCCGTCGCCGTGCAGACCCTCAACACGGGCGCCAAATCCACGCCCACGCCCTCGGGGTCGGGACGCGCCGGCGTCACGGGCGGAAGCAATTACCCCTCGCAGCAGACGCCCGAGATGACGGCCGTGCCGACGATGACGAGCAAGATCCCCGCCACGCCTGGTGGGGCAGAGGCCAGTCAGCCGACGGGGGATACGAATACCGGAAGCAGTGGAGACAGCGGGCAGAAGGGCATCGGGAGTGTGGCTGTCGTGGGACTGGGTGTCGGCGCGAGCGTGGGTGGCGCGCTGCTCGTGGCGGTGGGCGTGATGTGGTACCTCCGCAAGGAGAGGTCTCGTCGGGGACCCGTGGAGCTCGATGGGTCGAGTATCAATGGCGGGTACGGCGGTGGCAGCGGGGCGAGCGATCTGTCGAGGTCGAATACCGGACATACCGGGCGGATCGCGTACGGGGGGATGAATATTCACAATATGAATCACAACGGGGGCACAGGGACGATTAGCTCCATGGGGACAGGGACGTATAACATGTCGGCGACGCCTGGGATGGTGACTGTGAGGAGGGCGAGTAGTGAGTGGGATGGGAGTCCCGGCGGGTTGGGCGGGAATTATCAGATGGCGGAGATTGATGGTAAGGAGGCGATTATGGTTGCGGAGCCGCAAGGGAGGAAGAAGAGTCTCTATGAGCTGCCGTAGCCAGGTCGTCTTTCGGGGTATGAGATGAAGATGAAGTGGGTGAAAGACAAGAGAGAAAGTTCTTTAGAATAGAGCTTTGCCGTAAGACAAGCCATACAGAGACGGAGTTTGTACAAAAAAGACAGGAGGGACGGGATGGTGTATGGTGGCGTGATACCTGGACACTTTTGATAGCGGGGTGTTTCTGTTCTTACTTCCCCTTTTCTTTCTAGTTTACGGCTCATGAGAAATCAACTATTATAAACTTTAAACGTCCTTGCTTCTTCCTGCCTTCGTTCCTATGTGACAGGTGGCAAGCTTGAATTGACTAGACAAGACTTAAGCTTATCGCCCATCTGTCATCTATTCATGATCTACAAGCCTAGCGAATGGAAGAAAACAAGAGCTCGGACGGGCGACGATAACGCTAGCGTGGGAAACAATGATGATGGGCACCAGGGCCCCTTTACTGACAGCAACACACCACGAGCATCTCAACTATCCTGAAGGACGAGAGTAGAAGACAAAAGAAAGACGCTGACGAGGTACGGTGGGATGGAGAGGAAGGGAAGGGTGCTACCAGCACTCTGGAACCTGTCATGATCGGAAGCGCATCCGACCGGATTAGCGACCACCCACACGGGGTTATTGTGCGTCGTGAAAAGCCCGTCAGGGAGTGGAAGGATGTGGTTGACCGGCCTTCTCGATTCGGCCACCACGTGCCTTCGCCCTACGGCCCTGTTGTTGGGTAGCACTACAAGTGGATGTCGACTACCAAGGAGTACAGGGGCACACTTGAGGGCTGAGGAGCTTGAGGGGATCGGGGGCGTCTTCAGCCGTTGCTTCATGGTAAGGTAATGATCGGCAGGGGAGTGCTCTGCGGCTCTCGTTGTGCTTCGATGTGACGTTGGAGGGGGGAAGAGGTACGGCTGGCCTTGGATTTCTCGCGTATTATCAGTCAGGTTTACTGCAAGGTCAGAGTATCGTTCACTTGGCTTTCCTTGTTCTTCTTCTTTTTCTTCTATGTCATTGCCGCTACTCCGCGAATTAGACGCGGGGAGTGGAAGGAAGGACTATACCAGACCCGGATACGTCGATCATTCGCCATCTTCCATGCTGGGAACGGGTAAATGATCGAGCTGAATTGCGGAGTGGAGGGAAAAGAGAGAGTATAGCAGGCCTTGATGTCATAGCAGTGGCGCGCATTATAGATCAGAGGCCTTGTTGCTCGTACAAGACAGAGTCTAGGATGGTATTCTGAAGGGCATTTGTCGTGTGTGAGTGGGCGGAATAGACGCAGGGACCTCGATGAGACTCGAGAGAGTGATCGAGGAGGGGGTGTCGTTGCCGACGGCCCTGTCTGCGTTGTGTGAGGGACCGGACAGGGATACAGGGGGTTGAAGGGCATAGAGTTTGCCGCGACGTCTCATGAGGTATGATTGTCGATGACAAAAGAGCGATGGAGTCGGATTTTTACGGCACATTTATTGCTGCTCTGATTGGTGTACCTGTAGCAAGTTCAGTGTACACATTTTGATTTGGTCGTGTTGGTGAATTTTGGAGAAGGCGTTGGTGACATTGAAATAACTGTATCTAGCTGGCTTGTCGACCATGTCGATCTACTTTAAACCAGCAGCTTCACTGGGCCCGGAGGTACAAAGAAAAGCTCTTGGAAGTTCGACTTGGCGTGTCCCTCTTGACATGTCTTGGAGTTCGGGTGGTGCCTTGCGGTGAAGGTTTGAAGGGTGCCGAGAGACGAGACGAGTGGCAAAGTGTATATTAACCAGACACACGCTCGTCAATGTAACTTTTGGACAGAATCAGATATCAGAACAAGTCAGCAACAATGATGGTTGCATCCAATATCCAGCCACACATCACACGCATCACATAGTCCGAAGAAATCGGACTCGGAAACAGTACGAAAAAGAATTTAGATTTGATGATCGGATTCTTTTGGTTCGACACGAGACAGAGTAGTAGATAGTTGAGTATAGGTTATATGGAATATTATATGATACAGATCTGCGAGTCCAAGGATAAAAGCCTCAACTGCGAGGACCTTGAGGGTGAAGTAGAACAGGTACTCGGTCAGCCAGGGGAAGCCGGGCGAGACGGAGTGCGGGAGGACCGCGCCCCCTAGACAATGGACATCCCCGGCCCCGCCGGCCCCGGGGTCAACCCACCACCGCACCGGGGTCTTTGAGAAGAAAATGTAGATGCGGTTCAGTCATCGGCTCGCATCACTAGCAAGCAAAAATGTGTGCCCACGACGGACCACTGACTGCCGGAACATCGCTTAGGTACTTAGAAATATAAATTGCCGGCAATGGCTGGTGTGTCTGTGCCGTGTTTCCACTGCGGCGGGCGCAAGATGGGAAGTTTGGGGGCTGATCTTATGTTTCTTGCCTCAGACGTTATAGGGGCCGCCCACATGCTATGATACTGATTTGCGTGGCAGTAAACGGGGGTCCTTTTGGGGGATTGCGTGCTGATGGAGATTTTCTACAAGTTTGTCACTTGCCTGTGCCTGTGCATGTGTGTGTGGAGGTTGTGTCGCTTCTGGGGGCCGTTTCGAGGAAAGATGGGATGATGCGCTATTCTTGTAGCTCAGTTGCTTCGAATATGTTGAGGAATCTGGGAGGGCATGATTTTTGGGCTCTTTGATCTACTGTACAAATTGCTTATCTTGCTGATCGGTCCTTAGTGGGTGATCATGGTCCTTCTACTCGGTATCGCTGCCGGTAAATCTTCAATTGCAGTTACATGTGCGCTTGATCGACGTGATGTTGGGTGAAGTATTAAAACCTCTCGACAGGTTTGGTAACTAAGGCAAACCGTGCCATGGAAGTCGACGAGAACTTTCATCATGATGCCCCATACGTGAATGGCTTTAACAGGCGAGAAATTTGGCCGAGTTTGGGGATTTTACTTCTTGACTTTCATTTAGGTGAGATGTTGAGATGCAGCTGAGAAGGCTCTCCATATAAATTATTAATAGCAGGGCAATGAGAGTTGAGATGAAGTGCGCGGCAGTTGTGGCAGGTGTGGCAGTGCCGCCCCGTGGGTGACTGTGAACCAGACACTCCAAACGCGAGAATGGGTATCCTTTACGTGTAGTTCTGATCCGAGTCAATATTCTCGATAGAGATTATCTGCCCACAATACGGGTTGTTTGAAGTTCAACAGATCGCGAGGGGTAGCGTGGATGCCGCGGGGACATGGAGGCAAAAACTCCCTGAACACGAACGAACCCTTCAATAAACCGCCCCCAACGATACGCATGAAGATATTGAAGAGTGCCAGCGCGTTCCTGAAGTCTAAAGTTCCCTTATAGGACCAGAGGTATCGAGCCGCTGATGAGCCTTAGTAAGTGATTCAGGGGTTTGCTTGGATAACTCTGGAATGATCGTAATATTATGACAACAATTAATGTCACGTGATGGACCGGACACATTATACACCAGTCCTCCGTACGGAAAAGTAAAATACAATATTTAGTGTTCTCGTCTCTTATCCAACTAACAGTCGGTAGAGAAATAAGGGGTTCCATTGAGTACTTTCCTGTCTATACAGATAGAAACGGGAAGTTACTTATATCCTTCTCTCTACTATCTCGTCAAGCCAGGAAGGAGATATGCTAAAGTCTTAGGCCTGAGATGATGAGCATACATAGACTGGGTTGTTAGAAGCCACGCTGCCGATGTAAACTACCTCTACAGCCGCAAAGGCAGTCGTTGCTGCGAAGATTTCAGCCTTCTTTGCCCCAGTAAGTAATGCAAACAAGACTGAGAAAAACCTTGGTAAGAAAAATGACAAGTCCTATCCTATGCGCCATGTTCTGCACGAAGTACAAGACGAGGATTGCAAGAGTTGGCAGTGCAGCGGACAGAGTTGCAAGAATGATGTCACTGAAGCGTGAGATCTTTTCTTCGTTGTAAGTACGCGTATCGTCCGGCCTAAGCTTTTCACTGGACTGTCCGATGTGAACATTAGTTGTATTGCTTCGGAAACCACACGACAGGGAGGTCTGTATGAAATGGGTGCTAACCGTGGTGTGTGGTCCAATTACTTTGTGATACAAGTTAACAACTTTGCCGTTCATGAACTTAGTGAATTGGTCTGTTCCGACTGCTGACCCCCCAATCCTGAAGGTATCGTCTTGGTTGGCCTGATTCCATGTCGTTGCTTCTATGCCTGTCATGTCAAGAAATCCATTTCCCCCTTTGGGCTTGCGCAGCCGTGTTGCAAGAAACTTCCACTCGTCATCAGATGGGCGAGGCAACTTGCATAAAGAAGAGGCATGCTGAACTGCCCGATCTGCAATCGGGTTTGAGATGAGAATCGTGCAAAGAAGAAAAGAAGTCTTACGGTGTTCTTCTAGTTTCTTCCCAATCTCGAGCAAAAGTTCATACTGTATTGAATCTGGATCTTCCGCGTACTGCTTCATCACCCGAAAGCTGGATCACGACCTGTTGCGGGCGTTAGTGCCAAGGTCACCATCACGTCAGGCCGCATAGCCGCAACGAAAGGGATGGCCATGTGACTTGTAAAGCCTTGTCACCATGCGCTGTATTTTGCGTCTCGTCGAAACCGATTCAAATTCTAGTCTGATCCTGTTTCAAGCAAACCTGTTATCATCGTGAGCGCAATTTGCAAGATCTCCTGGTGCCATCGTCCTTCACCTTTGAATATGGCAGGCCCGTTGAGCTTCGCCGCATCTGTCGCTGGATTCATATCGTCAGCTTCTAATGCTCAGAATGCCTTGCGGACAGCACTGAGTCGCTCTCGCGAAAGCGTGAGCGCCCAAGAGAGTCTTCGGCGGTCGGATGCCTCAATGACGATGCTCAAGGTCATTTACCTAGACCTTGACCCGGGAACTCTCGCTGGTCGCATAGGCGCCGCACCTGCCACTCAAATGCACAGACAGATTGGAGAAATTCGCCTCGCCGAGCTAAACATTAGTCTTGACAAGAAGTTACAGAAAGAGTATGCCAGCCACGTGGGAGAATCGGCTGAAAGGCTCGAGAAGGCTTTGCAGAGACTCAGGGACATTGAACAAACGTTAGTTGGATCTCCGGCTAAGCGAATCTTGTGAAATGACTGACAGGCTGCACAGCTTCATGTTGCGGCGTATTGAGGCAATTGTCCTCAAATCCGAGGAACTCCAGCTGAAACGGGATGCAGAGAACACCAAAACAGAACAAGCGGTAGCCGAGATTGGCCAAGCTCTATCACTACTCCAGTCACATATGGCAACGGATGGGAGAATATTAGATAAAGGTATTCAACAGGCATTGACCAATATTGGACAAAGGATGTCGGAAATCAGCTTATTATTTGTGGAGGGAGAGACTTCAGACCGAACGATCGACGAGCTACGCGCAGCGATACAATCGACCATTGGCAGGTCCCAAGGGTTTGACCGGAATCAGGTTGTCTTCCCATTTGTCATACCAATGCAGGAAGTCGAAGATGTCGTGGCCAGAGTCATACTCGACACCGGCGTCCAGGACAACTGGATCAATACGAATACTGGAACGAGCGAATGTGACGTACGAGGATGTCGAAGAGGCTGGAACTTACGTTGGGGCGGGAGGATCGCGCTTCACACCTCTTGGCCAGGCCAAGCTGACTTGGTATTCTGAGAATCAAGCACTCAGCAGATTTTCGTGTTTTCTAGTGCACGGAGATCTCCCGTGTGATGTTATCCTCGGCAGCAAGTACATTTTGGTAAGTATGGACGAGCTTCTGGAGCCAGTACTACCCATAAGGAACACTAACTTGACCAAGGGTCAGTCTTCAACCGCATCACAACAAGCTCGCTTATGGCTGCTGACGTCCGATAGAGGATTGTGCTAATCTTCAACGGACTGAAAAAGAGAATGACGCCAAGAATGAGAGAATTATCGCTCTCCAGAAAGAGCAAAACAGAGCCGAGCGGGAAAAGAGAAGAGCCTAAAAAGCCACATCTCAAATGTCAACGACAAAGTCTTCGGCACCGTACACGCAAGTAGCAAGCTCTCACTCTTGGACCCCTGAGGCCTTGTCACGACGTCAAAGCACGCTATCTTCAATACAGTTCTCACTCTTGAACGGCAGTCACTCTAGCAGGTCACAATCATTTCCTTCCATGATTGCTTCCCAACCACCTATGGCTCAAGGGTATGCAGCAAACTCTTCCTTAGGAGCTCTTTCTTCGACGGTCTTTTCGAATACCTCTATATCTGAGGTAGCAGGGGCACGTGAACAAAGTGGGTGAACCAGGAGACTTGACATCCAGTTGAAACTGTTCCATTGGCAAGTAGATGTAATTTACTCTTCTCTTCTCTTCTACAGCGTGCCAGTGATGAAAGCCTCCCTAAAACGAGCTCCCTGCTTCACAGGCTGTACCCTGGAGATGCGAGATCAGTTGTCAGGCAAGGTCGGACGAACAAGGCGGAGGAAATAAGAGGCTTCCTTGCCACGCCGTATTCTCTATTCGTCCACGTCCCAGTTGCCTCGCTCGGAGCAACGGCTTTATGATCACAGTTGAGCAAATATGAAGGCCTGATCACAATCGGGCCTTTAAAAACCCAAACGTCGGTGACTTCCACTCAACCATGGGGCCGAAACTCGTCCAAGAGGTTCGAGAGTGATCTGCATTATCCGTATCAGGCCACAAAATCAAGCATAGACTCTCAAAATTATTCTATACGAAGAGATCGTGAGATCATCAGTTACCTGCTCACACATTTGCTGAGCGCGCTCTGCGTCGACCTGATATCGGCCCGTCGCATTGACTACGAGCAATGCCCGAATGGGAATTCCTTGAGAATTTATTGGCGAAAGGATGACACTCAGAGCAGACATGTCAACTTCATGTTGCGTTCTGCTACAGAGAATGCCATGGGCAGCTGTAGAGAGAATGCTTGTCGTCCGAGCTAGGCGCTAGAGTGCCCGTGTACCGTGTTTACCTATAACCGTGTGCTTATCAGCAAAGTTTTGACCGAGGGTTGCCAGGACGCCATCGGATGGTTTAGTGCCGGGCTGACGGCGTACGAGAAATCAGCAAATATAGATTCGGTACGCTGAGCTGATTTTTCGTCCACATTTGCAAGTAGCTGAAGTTGAGGCAAGGAAGTGTAGTCGAGGCAAGAATGCGGCAGTATAGAATTAAGCTCAGAGGGTATGACGAGAGTATACTTTGAGACCAAAAAATAAGCCAACAGCCATACCGAGGCAATCTGTAAGCGTCAGCGACTCTTCAAATCATTCTTTGTGCAGGGGAACGAGTAAGTTTGCAACCACATTACGCTTGGCGCCATGTTGTGGCGCCTTGGTGAAGCTAAGATGGCATCCCGCGGGCTTCCATTGATGACCCCAAACAAAGCCAGCATACATTGTAGACCGGGATAGACTTCAACGGTGTCTTGGGTGGGATACATGATGGCTAAGAGTGTTCGGACAATTCGACTCGAGCGATGGACTTTGGGACGGATTACACGGGAGGAACTTGGGCTTTGCGCTAGACACCCTGCGATTCCTATTGTAGTAATCCTAGCAGCGCTACCGAACTCTAACATCAGCGCGACATACAATAGCACCGAGAATTAGGCATTTCCATTCGTTCCCCCACCTGAGAGATCGACAAAGAACCCCCCAGAGCTGGCTGATCGTCAAGTTCTCCAGCTCTCCCCAGAGACCTTGCTCACATTGCCTTACCTAAAGCCGCCCAAAACGTCGTTAGGTGCGTTGTCACGGATCCGCTCCAGGATCTTCAATGCCGGTAGCTTCGGACACGTTGTGGCGCGCATACTTTCGACGGTTAGTTCTAGTTCTTTTCTCATTTCAGTCCAAATGTCCTTTAGATATAAGGAGCTCCGGATCCTGATCCGGAATTGAGATCTCGAACTCTCCAAGTCATCAGCTTCCAACAAACAACCTAATTCACTCTCTCCCAAGTCTTCAGTCTTTTCTTTTCTACTTGATCATTAGCAGTACATTCCTAATTTCACAATCCTTCAAATATTAATTATCACGATGCGCTCACAGATCCAGCAACTCGTCTTAGCTGCGGCTCTGCTGCAGTCCGCCGATGCCGCCCCGGCCGGCCTTCTCGACGGTCTCGGAGTCGTAACCCAGCTGCTGGCACTTCCGACCGACTATGTCTCTAGCTTGACCGGGGTTCTTGGCACGAAGCCCGGGAGCGGCGTCGGCGCCGGAGTTCTCAACGTCGGAGATCTCCAAACGAAACTCGGATCGATATGGAACACGGGCAGCACCGGTGACTTTTACGGAAAGCTGCAAAAGCAGATCGGCCAAGGTCTCGTCCCGAACAACCTCCTCTCCAGCTTCCAAGGACTTCTCGGCACTGGCCTTCTGGGTAGCTTGGACCTGGCCAACAATGCCAATAAGCTCATTGCTCCTCTCAATAGCATCGATTCCACAAGCAACAACAACCCGGTCAACCCGGCCAAGCCTGTCTACCCCAAGAAAGATGCTTCCGATGCACCATACACCCTCTCCGAGCAGCAGCTCCGCCAGGCCATTTACATCCCCCAGACTTTTACATACGGCCAGAAGCCTCCTGTTATCTTCATTCCTGGCACCGGTGTCTACGGAGGAGAGACCTTCAGCCCCAACTTGTTAAAGCTTCTCACAAATGTCCCCTACGCAGATCCCGTCTGGCTCAACATCCCCGGCGCTCTCCTTGGCGACGCTCAGGTCAACTCCGAGTACGTCGCCTATGCCATCAACTACATCAACGGCATCAGCAACAAGAATTCGAGCATCATTTCCTGGTCTCAGGGCGGTCTAGACACCCAGTGGGCTTTCACCTTCTGGCCTTCTACCCGCAACGCTGTCGCCAACTTCTTCCCCGTGTCTCCCGACTTCCATGGAACCGTTCTTGCCAACGTCCTCTGCCTTTCGCCCGGCAACGGCGCCCTGAACGCTCCCTGCGATCCTTCCGTCATTCAACAGCAATACACCTCTGTCTTCATTAACACCCTTCGTTCCCGTGGAGGAGCCGACGCCTACGTTCCCACGACAACTTTCTACAGTGCTGTTCTCGATGAGGTTGTCGAGCCCCAGCAAGGCACCGCTGCTTCCGCCTACCTGACCGATGCCCGCCGTGTCGGTGTCACCAACATCGAGGTCCAGTCTGTCTGCCCTGGTCGCCCCGCCGGCAGTATCTACGGTCACGCGACGATGCTCTTTAACCCCTTGACAACCGCACTCATCAAGGATGTTCTTCAGAGAGGCTCAGGACCCGCCAAGATTAGCAACATCAACCTCAACGACGTTTGCAAGGACTTCATCGCCCCTGGCTTGAACCTCGAAGATGGCATTGCTACTGCTGGTTCAATTGTTGCTGCTGGCATTCGCTTGTTGGCCTACCTCCCGAAGCTCATTGCCGAGCCCACTCTGATGGCCTACGCCCGTTCCTGAGTACTCTCTTGTTTAAACAAGATGTATCTTCTAGAGAAGCTATGTTTCTCATTACACTGAGTACGCGGTTACTGGGGGGTGTTTAGGACGAGATAATGAAGATGAAGATGAAGATGGGAATGAGGTCAATGTAAATCTTCTTTATAACAGTGTAATTAGATGTGTAATTAATTATAGATAGACGTAATTAGAACAGTTGGATCTAAAGATGTATATTGATTTCGAGGCACAAATTCCACACATGCCTCGACGGTTCTAGTCTGAACAAACCTTTAAACGCCATAGCTGATTAAGTGTTGATGAATAATATGAGGAGGTATAAATGTGATTCACCAAAGGTTGGCTTTACTTGGATACCAGGAGGCCCCGAAGACAAAATCACATCTTCGCATCTCTCCCAATGCCCGTTTGCCCCACAGCAAATTCCTTTCTCTCATCCACTGACAACCTCGTCTCGGCTATTTCACCAGTCTGTGACTGTTCCTCTACAGTTGCAAGTCTGTCGGTCTCTTCGACTGGCACGTGGTCTCTGACCACCAGCCATGTAGGATAAACGGCCAAACCTACATCGATTAGCATCATCTTCAACTTCATCATGGGCTCTGCTTGGCTTACCCAGGAGGATGGTGTTGACGGCAAGTGGCACCCTACCTCCCTTCCACTTCTGCGTGTTCAGCCCAAACGAGACGGCCTGGGAAAAACTCTCCTGGCCTCTAAGGATACCGGAGAAGCGGGTGAGTTCAGAGATGTTGTCCGTCTTGGTGGCAAGAAGGTAGTAGAGCCAGCTCTGCAGTGCTTGGCGGGCGAAATCCCACAACAAGAGCACGAAGAAACCCTCGGTGAATCCCTTATCCTCCCAGTCGTACGCAGGTGGGTTGCGGGTGTACTTCTCTTGGATGACCCAGCCGTAAACCCATGCAATGACATGCCATACAATGACGTAGTAGAAGCCAATAGTGATGCGCTTCTTGACACTGAACTTCTTGTAGTCGAGGAGGGTGCTAATCAGCTGCGATGAGAGAAGGGTGCCGAAGTTGCTGACGAAGCCGATGAGTGCGCGAGCGCGGATACCGAAATAGTAGGCTTGGAAGTTTCCACTGTATTGATTGAAGTAGGCAGCCCAGAAGATGGGGAGAAGCAGCAGGATATCCTTGCGCTTCGACACGCGGAGAAGCTCTCTGAACTCGGCCTTGAACGATTTCTCGGCCTTGATAATGACCTTGCTACCGTCGGATCTTTGGACCTTCTCCGGGGGAGATAAAGCGAGTGCAAGGGGCACGCTGAGACATTGCAGAGCAACGAAGACCAGGTAGGTCTGATATCCAACCTTCCCCTTCTTCTTCGCAGCCGCATCGTTGTTGAGGGCCAGGACAATGGCTCCACCGACGAGAGGACCACCGGTTCTGAACCAGAGCCA